AGCGGGGGAGCTGCCACCACCCCCCCCAACACCCCGCCAACAAACGAACGCCTTTTCCTCCAAAATAACCCGTGACCCGGCCCCAAAACCTCCGCAAAATGACACAACAACCCCCCCATATTCTAACTATATATCCTAACGGGCATCTCTCCTTTGTGTCCCGCTCCTTCCTCTGCAGTGCCTCCCTCCGCTTGCCATAGGCAGGGGGGGGGACTTCTCGGAGGCCTATGCCGACCGGTGCTCGGCCGTGGGGCTGGCTGCCAGAGAAGGGGACGTGAAGGTGCTGAGGAAGCTCATTAAGCAGGGGTACAGCGTTGACGTGGCGGATAACAGGGGCTGGATGCCGATCCATGAAGCAGCAGCTCACAACTCCAGCGAATGTCTGAGGGCGCTGGTGCGTGCAGGTGAGGAAAGCCCAACTGACGCGCTGCCGGGCTCCCCTGACGTATAGAATAGATCTATCTTGCGCTGTTCTTACTCGATTTGTAAATGTCTGTGTGGTTTTGTAGATACTGCCTTTACGGTAAAGAGAACTCGGCACGTTGCAGTCTGCAAATTTGGTTTTATTTTGCCTTCCCCGGGCCAAGCCAAGTCTGTGCGGAGGGCCCGGCAGTACCGCGATGCTGCTGTTTGAAGGCGTCAATGGCGCTTGTGGACGCGCTGCAGGCCCCGCATCTCACAGAGTGCAGTTGCTTCAAGAAAGTAACTGTGCTTTGTCGTTAATTGCTAAATATACCTTCCCCCTTGTTCCCATTTATAGCTCCATCCGAGGACTACCTCAATGCCAAGACGTTTGAGGGGCACTGCCCGCTGCACCTGTCAGCCTGCCACGGCGCTCTGGAGAGCGTGCGCGTTCTGCTGGAAGCTGGGGCTGACCCCAACGAAGTCAACACTGAAGCAACCACCGCACTGTTCCTAGGTGACACGAGCTTGCTTGAGACCTCAGAACAGCCGAGGAGGGGGAAAAGCTTACTTGCTGAGTTTGAACTCGTCAGAGTTCGCTCACTGCCTCTCCCGTTTCATATTTTTTTTTAGCCCAAATGCCAGGCTTTAGACTCAGAGGTGGAGTGGGTCTAGAGGTTACTTCAATGGATCAATCAGCTTCAGACTGTGTTTTAAAACAAAATTGTAAAACTAGCTTTTTTAGGTTTTTTCCATTGCCTTTTGTTTCTTGCTAGCACAGAAAAGGTCTAGGAGGTAATAGGATTACAGCTGTATGAGCGTTTTCCAATTTTGTTTGTTTTTTTAATTCCTCCCTACTTCTTAGGTGGAAAGACCTCTTCTTTTTGCAATTCCTAGTTTAACAATTAAGGTCCATTATTTTAGTATTTTTTCTATTATTTATGTTTGACATAATTAACTGCTTAACACTTCTGCTATAGTGACTCCTCAGAGTTTAAATAATCTGGTTATATATATGCTTGTTGTTTTACTGACCTCCATGCACAGGCAAACATCATGGCTGCCACATTACCCTTGTTTATAAGTCTCTTCACATTTAATTTGTAGGCAACTAAATAGTTAATTTGCTTTAAACAGCTGGTGACAGGCAGCACTTGTGGGGAAATCACCATGGATAATGGTAATTAACACTGTGTATAAGTGCTTACATAGATTAGGCAGGACCAAGGAATGGATGTGGGGCTGCATATCCAAGAGATATTTAAATTTTTTAAAAGGGAAAAGTTTATGCTCAGGTTAATTCAGATTACGTGATGGGGTTATGGCACAGCTCTGTGTTGGACATTGGGTACTACAAGCCAGAGGCACTGCTGTGCTGAGCCCCTGCACTAATACTCTAAAAATTACTCAGTAGTAGTGGGTCATTTATCATCTTATTAAGCTTCTATGGTTACACAGGAAATGTGCCGTGGTAGAATTGTCAGTGACAGAAACTTGAGGATGAATCAGGATGCTAAAGGAGACTTTGTCAATGAAAACGTTAGCATAAATTAAATGTACGTAGTATAAATTAATTTTATGTAGACATTTAGAGCAGTTTTGGGGGGAATTTGTTGTAAGATAGAGTTTCACAAGTTTGGGAGGCCATTGCAACTGTCAAGCAGTTAGGTGCCTGCTGCAGAATTGTCTCCGTGCTCCACGGGAAAGAGGGAGGAGAGGAACTTGCTCTTGTGATGTGTTAGCACAGCATAGGTGGAATTTCAACAAGTCTAACTAAAATTTTTGGAAATTAATTTCCGTTCTCCAATTCCATTTTGGAGGTGTAAATGTGAAAGGCAAATAAGTATATAAGGGAAGTTTAAAAGCATTACAGTTATTGTGTTGGGAAGTTAGTGGTGAGACTTCTTGAGCTTTTCAATTGGTTCTTTCAGTCCAGTTAAGAATTGTTTTGTTGTTTGTTTGGTTTGTTTTTTTTTAATATTCTGTTTGAAGCTGTTCAAAATGGACATGCAGATACTGTAAAGTTTCTGCTCCAACATGGAGCAAATGTTAAAGGACCTCATACTTTCTCTGGATGGAATTCTTTGCACCAAGCTTCTTTTCAGGTAACCTGCAAGTATGTAATCTAATTTCTCTGTAACTGGTGTACTCTGAGTGATAATTTATCTGTTCTTTGCCTTTTTGTGCAGTAATTTTTCCTAACCTACCCTGGCAGTCTAAATGCTGAAGGGCTTGCAACATATCAAAGTGTGTATCTGAATCTAGACAAGATGTTGATGTTGGGAATCAATAATTAAGTATTCCAAATATTGCATGTATTTACAAGCTCACATATAGTACAGGATTTTTTGAGAAAGAGTTCTGTTTAGTATCTTATCACCAGTGAGATGTATGACCTATTTACAAAATAGAATAATAAAATTATAGAATGGGTATGCTTGGAAGTTTTGAAATATGCTAGCTTAATGGTTCTAATAAACTAATTGAATTTCCATTTGTATCTGTTATTTAAGTAAGCAAATTTGAAAAAATAGATTTAACTTGTCTTATTTTTTTGCCACTAATTTTTCAGTACATCTTTAGAATATTTACTATATTGCTTTATTTTCCTTATTTCTGTTTGGAATGTCTGGACAAAATAGATTATTTCAATTATCCAATTTTTTTATTGTTGGTTAAGAATAAAAATATTTGATTTCAGGGATGCACTGAGATAATGAAAATACTCCTGGAGAAAGGGGCAAGCAAGGAATGTAAGGATGACTTTGGAATTACACCTTTGTTTGTTGCTGCTCAGTATGGAAAACTGGAGAGTTTAAGACTGCTTGTATCTCATGGTAATAGTGATTATTCATTTAGCTTCATTGTTTTGAAACTTGCGTCAGCCTGTCATCACATACCATTTAATTCTACTTTTGCACTCCATAACTTCAGATTTTAGTTTTTTTAATGCAATTTTAGTTGCAGATGGGCATGCAAAGCCATCTTAATTGCTTAAATCTTGTGTCTGTAATTTGATGTAGTTTTCAGCAAGTGATGGTAGAAAATAATAAATAAAAAAAGTTTAATGAGAAGATTAAGAATTGCCAGGATCTTCTAGAACCCCTCAGTAGTGCTACACCAGTGGGCTAGTTTTTATGACATTGCTCTTGTAATAGGAGATTGTTTAGGCTGAGGGAAGATAACTTCCTCTAAGCTCTCTTTGCTCAGAAAGTGACAACATCAGTTTCATTCACATAGACAAGTTTTATATGTCTTAAGAGCACATGTCCTTACAAGCAAAATTAATTGCTTAGCTCTTAAGCCTGGGGGGATCCATGACCTGACCAGAGAAATTGCACTAACTGATCTCCCTATTTCTGGGGAAGAATCTCTAACAATAATTGAAATCAAATGATTGTCTAACCCATTGCTTTTCCTCCAGCCTATTTATCTTGTATTGTGCTGGTTTTTGACAAAGCACTGACTGTTTAAAAAAAGTTAGCAACAAGCTAGTAAATGTTTTCTTATTGCTATGGAAGACCTGCTGTGTTATGAAGCCATACTGTAAAAACAATTACTGGTTACTTTCAATTTGTTGTATATTTGATGTGATGTAGGGATGATGTAAAGCACTGACTTCTTTTTTTTTTTTTTTTTTTTTTTTACAAGCAAAATTAATTGCTTAGCTCTTAAGCCTGGGGGGATCCATGACCTGACCAGAGAAATTGCACTAACTGATCTCCCTATTTCTGGGGAAGAATCTCTAACAATAATTGAAATCAAATGATTGTCTAACCCATTGCTTTTCCTCCAGCCTATTTATCTTGTATTGTGCTGGTTTTTGACAAAGCACTGACTGTTTAAAAAAAGTTAGCAACAAGCTAGTAAATGTTTTCTTATTGCTATGGAAGACCTGCTGTGTTATGAAGCCATACTGTAAAAACAATTACTGGTTACTTTCAATTTGTTGTATATTTGATGTGATGTAGGGATGATGTAAAGCACTGACTTCTTTTTTTTTTTTTTTTTTTTTTTTTTTGTCAGGTGCAGATGTGAACTCTCAAGCCAAGGACAGAGCTACTCCCCTGCTGATTGCTGTGCAGGAGGGCCACACTGAGTGTGTGGAACTGCTGCTAGCCAGTGGGGCAGATCCAAACCTCTACTGCAACGAGGAAAACTGGCAGTTGCCTATTCATGCAGCTGCTGAAATGGGCCGTAAAAAGTAGGTGACTAAAAAGATACTCAGAGAAGATTCTGATAACAAAAATCTAATCAACAAAGAGGAAGTTCCGTTCAAAAAGGAAGAAAAACAGGTTCTCAAGCTGGCTTGTAGTTTAGAATTCCTGATTATTTTACTGTTTTAAATGTGTGTTAGTAGTTCCAGTAAAGCGACCAGCCAGAGGTGTTCAGCCTCTAACTTGGGTCTGATCCATATCTTGATGAGTTTAGAGGGTTTTCCACAGGGCTGAACCAGAGATCAATTCCCTCAACAGCCATACGACGTTCACATTTTTAAATAAAACCAACAATAAGATATGCTTTATACATTACTTGAACAGGAGCAGACTGTAGTAGATACTGAGGAAGTTGTTTTGTTCATTTTCTCAGAAACAGAAGATGGGTTTGCAAAGGTGTCAGTACTAGAAATGTCTTTAAGTCAAATGCTGCCTTCATAGCTTTTGCAACAATATGTAACTGGCAACCTCTGAGCAGCACCACTAAGTTCCAGTAGCAAAGGAACTGGTGTATGTTGCTAATCCTTATTAGCTGGAAAGGATTTGGACTGGAGGTGTGAGCTATGAAGCAGAATGGTTTTTCTGTTTTATTATCTTAGTGAGTGTTGTTGAACAGAAGTAAATATTAATTTATTTTGCAGTAGAAGTCTGGATTTAATGTGCACTGGTAATCTATTGCTGTAAAAAAAATTGTTGGATAATAGGAAATAACTGTGTCTGGTTTGGATTAAAATACTTACTGTCAGCCTAAATCCTTGCCAAAGCACAGTATTTGTTATGGGTCTTTGTATTAAATGATAGACGTTCTTTTATGCAAACTCAGTAGTCAAAACACAGATAGGATTATCTTCTTTTGTTGTAATCACCATATGAAAACTGACCATACATTTAACTCTCATTATTGCATAGGATAGCAAAATAAACAGTGTTTTTAAATACTTACAGGCTGTTGCAGTTGCTAATACCAATTACTGATCGGATTTGTGACAAAAGCAAAGACAAAGTGAGCCCTGTGTATTCAGCAGTATATGGTGGTAATAAAGAATGTCTGGAAATGTTACTTAAAGAAGGCTACAGTCCAGATGCTCAGGAGTGCCTTAACTTTGACTGCAGATCACCCATGTGTATGGTCTTCCACAAAGAGTAAGTACACCTCTTACATTTTGAAACTATTAGTAATTATGTTGGCCTTTATTTAACATTTTTTAAATGTGCAGTTTTCCTGCCCTCCTTTCTCGGTGCTTGAGCTGCTGGAGTTCAGCTGTAACTGTCCACGTGGTGCCTGGGGTTTGGATTGTGTGCACCAGATGAGGAACCTCACTGAGATCTCTGATGGGAAGCTCAGCTCTTTGAAGAAGAGTCTTGTAGAACATAATTGCAGTTTCCATGCTTTCAGAAGGCCTTTTCAACACGTCTGTACTCTGGGAACATGACTTGATGGTGTAATTGGATCAAAAGGGCTCTTAAGTAGCCAGATCCATTTCAGTAAGGATGAGTTATTAGAAAATAGTGTTTTCCTTTTCTGCATGCCAGTCTCATGTGTAAGACAAGCAGAATTAGTCAGTGTAAGGAGAACTGGGAAAGAGAATTATGCAGTCTTTTAGATCATGACCCCTGGTATTCAACAGGAAATAAAAGAATGCTTACTTCATAGTGCAAAGACTCTAATTTTGGTGGAAAAGTAATAAGGTAGAAAAGCCTTACTGTAATTATACATATACAAGGTACACCAATGAGCAGCTCTTCATGTCATTATTATTTTCCTTTAGTACAGAAATTTCTTCTTCCTTTTTCTGTGGGAAATTAATTTATGGAGGAGTTGGGTTGTTACTGTAAAAGATCTAGATGTTGCTGTCCCCAGGCTCACCTTATGCTCCTCCCAAACAAATTCAATATAGAAAATAAGATTCAAATGACTGAATACTGGCACAGCTTAAATCAAAATAGAGAATCAAATCTCAGTCACCTCTTGACTGTTCTGCGATTTGTATAGACCTGTAATGTCACTGTGTTTTATATTTTAGTTGAGGCTTGAAAGCAATTACCTGTAACTGCTTTATGCTTTAGAACAACAGAGACATGTCATGTGGTAGAAAATGTTTGAAAACCCTTTTTTTTTCTTAGCTGGTTGCTGTCTATCATGTAATGTTTTCCCAGAATTCTAGTTAGTTTGCCCTTTGTAGACACTACTTCTTGGGAATATTATTGCAAAGTAATATTATGTGGCTAGTGTGCTGCATTAAGGGAAGTACCTTTAATAAAAGCATTTAAATATTCTTAAAGCTCAGATTCTGACAGAATATCTCATGGACATGGATCAGAATTTATTGCTTAAGTGCTGACATTTAAATTAATGAGGTTTTGATAGTAGTGAATTTAGTCCACCCCCATTAAAAAGCAGTTTATCTAGCAGATGCAAAAACGTAGCTTTTGGGATTGGCTTACAATTGAGATTATTTCAGTTTCTCATTCTTGCCTCTTGTCTTCCATATGGGACCTGCTCTGATTTTTTTTTTTAATTTAAGGAAGAACAATTCAAATATGCAATATTTTAACTGTTCTTAGATTCCAGAATTTTGTCATGTGAAAACATTTCTAGCCAAAAATGCTGACATTTTAGAGGATGTGCCTTGGTGCCCTGAATGCTGTAAACAATTGACACTGGTAGAGGCTATCTGAGAAATTATTTTTTAATGAGAAAGCTGGTTAGAATTAAAATTGTGGTCTTGAGGGGGATGTACTGTTTTGGGTTTTATTTTAATGTGGTTAAAGCTTTTGGAAGAGCTAGCTTTGCTGGAATGTTCTTTGCTGGCTGTGTTTGAATATATGTGTTTGTGAAGTTGTTACTTGTTGCATGCTGTTAATTAATGGAATCACTCATTCTTACAGTTGGCTTAGGAAAAATGTTAAACACTTCAACAAATATATCAGTATCAGCCCACAGTGCATTAATTGTAACAAACAACTTTCCAGTGATTCATAATGTCCTGAAATGAAAATCCTCCTGTAATATTCTGGTCGAGTTTATCCTACTTGGACTGAAAGGGCTTATCTCAAGGAGGGAAATCACGGGCAGATTTATTTTTTTTTTCAGTAATGACTGTACACCCCAGTGGTGGTGTCTGTTAAGGTCCTTTGTGTCTCTGGTCAGACTGCAGGGGATTTTTAATTGCTGGAGGCAGGATCCTCATCCAGAGCCAAAACAGCACTTGGAAAATCACACGTAGGGGTACAAGGCAGAGTGTGCTTTCCCTTATCTCCAGAAGTTACCCATAACATGTGCAGTGAAGCAGCACCTAGGGTTTGTTATTATTAATTTTAATCACAGACTCCTAGAAAGTGCTTTAAAAATCCTTGTACATTGTTTTTTCCCTTCTATTCTAAGCATTCAGTAAATAATTAGTCAGGGATAGTAACTACTAAACTCTGCTGTAAATGAGGCAGGTAACATCTCACCGCTTCAAAACCACTTCTATGAAGTAATGTGCAATCTAATTACTAACTAAAAAGAAATACACTATCAGTTATTATCTTACTCATTATCATATCACCGTCTTACAGTTGATAATCATAGAATCATCAAGGTTGGAAAAGTCCTTCAAGATCATCAAGTCCAACTGTCCACCCCGAAGCCCTAACCACTAAACCACATCTACCCGAAGCACCACATCTACCTATTTTTTTAATACCTCCAGGGGTAGTGCCTCCACCACCTCCCTGGGCAGCCTGTTCCAATGCCTCACAACTCTTTCTGTGAAGAAATTTTCCCTAATATCCAGCCTGAACCTCCTCTGGTGCAACCTGACCCCATTTTCTCTTGCCCTATTGCTAGTTACGAGGGAGAAGAGGCCAGCACCTGCCTCACTACAACCTCCTTTCAGGTAGAGGGCAATGAGGTCTCCCCTCAGCCTCCTCTTTCTCCAGGCTGAACAGTTCCAGCTCCCTCAGCCTCATAAGGCCAGTTCTCCAGATCCCTAATCGGCCTGGTTGCCCTTCTCTGCACCTTCTCCCACATCTCAATGTCCTTCCTATACTGCAGTGCCCAAAATTGCACACAGTACTCGAGGCACAGCCTCCCCAAGGCTGAGTTTAATGATAAAATTATTTTAGTCAAATAATTTATAAATGTTTACAGTAGTTCAGTAGGTTGCAGAGCTTCCTGAAAATACAGCTAGGGGGACTTTTGGTAGGAGAAATTTGTAAGTGAAATGTTATAGATGCTTTTTGGGGAAAAACTAACAGGATGTTCTGTTCCTTCTGTGCTGTTCATAGACGTTTTTATTTAATCGATATTTTCCTGAAATACGGGATCACCTTACTTGGGATTAATTTGGGATATTGCCTGTTCCATGAAAAGTTTGCCTTGTTTCAACGCTTCTTGAAGCTGGGCTGTTCACTGCCTGCTGGGGACCAGTTGTTTGAGTTCATAAAATACACCATTAAAGCACAGGAGTGTTACAAGGAATGGCTGCCTTACCTGCTCTTGGCTGGGTTTAATGCAGTGAATTTAATGCACAGAATCTGGTAAGCAGATAATGTTACCTTGTTTACTTAAATATTGTATGCTAATCTGCAAAGCTGTTGCTGATGTTATTTACCATGTATTTTCAGAGGACAGAACTGGAGAATCAGTTGCGATGGTCAGGAATGGTGAAATAAAATAGTCTGAAATAAAATATGACTGGATTTGGTAAAACATTTATTTTAGGAAGAAAGACAGAATGGAGATTGGTCTATTGCTACCCTGGAGAAAGGCCCCCAGATTTAGTTGCAAGTTGTGTGTGTGTAATGCAGTAGGGATAAGAAGAATGTCAAATACAAGAAAGAAGTCAGGAGGGATGGGAAATAAATGTAAGGTTAAGCTGCGCCAAGTCTAGAAGAAGAGGAAATGGATGCTGTTAGGGATTGTGTTAAACAAAACGGGGCAAAAAAATCAAGTCTGAGTTTTTGTTTTGTTGTGGGTTTTTTTCTTAAATTCTTCCACATAAAAATAACAGCTTGGAGATGTTTTATACTTAATTAGGCACACAGAATAAACTTGGTATTTAAAGTAATGAAGTATTTCTGAAGTTTTTTTCCATGTCTGTGCAGATGACACTTAAGTTACACAACCAAATGTCTCAGCTATTAACAGCATTATGTGAGATGTATAAACTCAATACATGCATTACTTAACTGTATGAAAGGAGTAGGAGTCTTAAGGTTTACTTACATATTCTTTATATCAGATACTGTTAAGATACCATGGTTAAGATATCATTGGCAGTTTTAAATGCATTTATTTATGGCTTAGTGAGGTTGTCTTAATCAAGCTAATCATGTTAATACTGGCTTTCTGAACAGTAATTAGAGGAGCATTTTTAAGTGTGGTATATCTGTGCTTCTGTAGATCATATTTATTCATAGAAGACTTAGTGATTGCAAAAGTAACACATGACAAGTTTGCAATTCAGTGAGTGAACAAATCTCACTGTCCATGTAAAACGTGATGCTTTTTGATATTTTATAACATAATCCACAAATACTTGTACACCAGTTACTTCCTTTGTGTAATACCCACTTTTCTGAATAACACTTTAACGTCAATATTAACTATTCCATCCTGGAAGATAACAGGAGGATAGTAGATAGCAAACAACAGTTATGCATGTAATTAATGTATGGTCTCTGGATCCTTGTACAAAGCAATTGTAAAATCATAAATTGGTCAACTTGGAGCACTGGCAATTTTAATTACAAGTGGGAGATGTAAAATCACCATTCTCTTAAAGATAGTGAGACAATCAGATCTCTCCTGCATGGTTTTCAGTCAATGTGTGAAAGTTCAGTCAAATATGAAAAATTAAATAATAAAAACTAGAAAGGACGTAAAGTAACTGTTTACATTAATCTCTTGTAAAAAGCAAGTGTATTAAAACATTTTAGGTTGGTATTTTTGTGTGTTTAGAGCATTTAGATTTCCATTCGGATGAAAATTCAGGGTTGTACACATCCAGCTGAGAAGCTGTTCTGTGAAATTCCATGGTTCTTCATCAACATCAAGTGTAATCCTAAACCAGTTGGTTTACCTGCTGGTACTTAAACCTCCTTACACCCTTTATTCAATTAAGCTATTGTTAAAAGTTCTTCACATGCTACAGATTTGAATTATAAATCATACTGATCTCTGAATATATACAAGTGTGACCTCTGGTAGAAGAGATTTTGAAACACTTGCAAGTTTTGAGGGTTTGCTTTTGTTTGTTTTAATAGATAAATAACTGCATGTATGAGTGGCCCCTTATTAAAATTTAGGTGGAAATGGAATAAGAAACTAGTGCAGAGGAGAATGCTGCCTGTTACTGAGGCATTTAAATTTCAGAGCAGGTATTTTTCTCTTTCATTTTAACTTTTAAAGAGAAATCGAGAAAGATAACATTATATTAATAAAGGCTTGTGCTGTCAGAAATACTTTGGATTTCTCTTTAATGGTTTTCTGTTTCTAGGCTTAGGATGTAGGTTGTTAAGGATTTGTTAGAAAATAGTAAAGCTTTCTATGTGTTGTTTCCATTGTTATATTTATGCTATTGTGTAAAATTATATTTCACCGGAGTTTTGTTACGCAGGATTTTCTCTGTGCATGACGGTGCCCTTAATTTCATCCTGGAGTTCACAAACTGGAAGAGACTTCCTCCAGCTGTAGAGCAAGACCTTTCAGAATACAAAGAGAAGTTCTCTTGGACTCCCAAGAGCCATTTTAGTAAGCAATACAATTGGGGAGAAAGCATCTCTGTGTATGCCAGCTTCCAAGTGGGAAGTGGGAAGCAGCACTGTGTGCTACTTTGCAATGGCAAAG